AAACTTATTTAATCTCATGTTAAAATTTAGTTCAAAGTAGACACAATATAGTTTTCAGTGTATTTTTCTATAAAAAGCCTATTTCCCCATGTTATTTTTGTAAAGTAATATAGAAAGGAAATCAATAACATTACGAAACTTCAACACAATAAAGCTAATTAAATCCTGAATTGAATGCCTTAGTGAAAATTATAATGCGTTATAGATTTTTTTATCATTAATGGAAATGTTCCTAAAGAGTGCTGAAAATCGACCCCGCACTAGATTGATTATATATATATATATATATATATATATATATATATATATATATATATATATATATATATTTTTTTTTAATAAATATTAAGATTTCAAGATTGATACATGCACTTGAAAGTTTATCTAAACATATTGAACCAACAAAAGTCGGACAAAGACTAGAAGAAACAAGATACTACGATGAATAACTGTTTTATTGTAAGCGAATGAAAGAAAAAACAATTTGTTGACTAATTTTTTGGTGTACATTCAAACAATCTTAATGGATGTGTTTTAAGGCTATACATTTCCGAGATGATCCCGTTTCGTAATTCACTCGGTTGCAATCTAACTGAGCGACTACTGAACCGTTTCAATATCAAAAATTTGAATTAATTTCAAATTTCCAATTGCACACCATTTTCAAACTTTTTTATCTCTTGATTATATTTTTATGTATTATTCTCCCGCAATGTGTTTTACTTTAATTATTTCGAACGCCTAATTGTATGTGGCACTAATTTAATTTTTAAGCCATGGCAACTCTTGACTTTGATTAATTTCTCCAATTTTTATTAGCGGCTGAGTCTACATTTTCGTTATCATTTTTTTGAGCATCATCATAGTTGAAAATTGTTTTGGGTTATTCTTGATTACTCTTCTATATTTTCTTGAAATAAATTGCGTCAATAAAAAACAATTATAGCTGTGAGTAATTGATTTTACACTCTCAGTTGTATTATATACAGCATTCCTTACCCATTATTAATTACTTCGATTAAATTAGTTTTTATTCTAAAAGCACTGACAAAGTACTACTAAACACATCATGTAATTGTGAGTAATTGCAAAGATACGCTTCAATCAAGTCAATAATGAATCGCCACCATAGCAAAAAGTATACGTTTTCGAATAAGCCTACTCCATTTAGATCAAATCAAAGATTTACGCGAATATATATATATATATATATATATATATATATATATATATATATATATATCATCAAACGTAATGCAAAACTTCCTCCTTTTTCTAATCGCTAGAATATTTCTGACGAATATAGTATATACTTGTTTTTATTTCAGAGATTAGTTTTGAACATGGGATGTTCTTATTTATTAATTATGTATAAGTTCTGGCTACGTAAAAATTATTCTATTAATTAACAATTTTTCTCTCGTGTCAACATTTTTTCTACAAATTAAAAATCGAAAATCATTCAAATGTTGAACAAGAAATTCGTTCAACCGCATATTTGCAAGTGCATTGTGAGCATAGATACTTGTACTTTGAAGTTGGGACAAAATCTTTTTGTCCATAAAAATATGCAAGAAGCCATAGCCTCTTGGTCCGATACTTGATTTTCATAGGGACAGGCTAATCTGTAAGCGATGTAGAGTTTTCATAATGTTATCAAGTAGACCCTGAAATTAAATCCTTTCGATGGAAAAACAATTTTCTTCCGAAAAGTTAAACGATTCACAAATTAAGCCAAAATAAATTTTTATTAAATAATTGACTAATTTTTTGGAAAAAAGCATCTGATTACATAGTTAGTGACAAAATTATAAATAGTACGTATAATTTTTGAACGGTTCATCTTACCAACCAATTTTTTTTTCTATCGAAAGAATTTAATTTCAGCTTTTATTTAATATTGCGTAAACACTACTTCATTTAAATTACAATCTATCCTCATTGCAAAATAATCATGTATTTCGGCTGTCTCTATGAAAATAGCCTGTAATTATGGATAAATTGAGTATTAGAACGAGTATCGATAGATTTTTGCATGTTTTTTTATATAAAACCATTCTTTAAAATTTTAAGTAAATTAGTGATCCAAACTCTCCTCATCATGTCACAATACCTAAAGTCATGTAGAAAATTTCATTATTTTTTTATATCTAGAGCTCTAAAGAAAATAGCTTTTTAATAACTTTTTCATAGTGGATTTATAAAAAGTTCCTGATAAGCTTTTACTAAACACTTATAAAACTGATACACATTACGATGAGATGTGCATGGAATTAAAAAAAATCAGTGAAAGTTTCAAGCTCAAACCCAATATTTTACGGCTTATTTCGATTTGAAATGAATTTCTGCAGCAAAAACTATTAATATAATCTGCAGCGTCCCATATGAACATAGTTCTTAAAGTAACAACAACAACAAGAACAGCAGCAGCAACAACAACAACAACAACATCATTAATACTCATATAGCTGTCTAATTTATCAATGAAAATGAGCCGTCGAACAATTATTTTGGTTATGTTCGTATAAAACATTTGCCCTTAAAATCATCGATCAAACTTGCACTTTGAAGACAAAACTTTGTCAATGAAGTCAATTAGCTCTTAAAATTTTCGTTTTCACAAGTAGAATAAGTGATGTACAGAGAAACCTATATATAGAGAATCTAAAAGTTGACCACTAGTAAAATGTTAAATATAAGGACAACAATGACAACAATAAATGATTATATATTTTAATACGCGTGAATTTAACATTAAATGGCATGCAACATAAAAATTATCATGTTGTCGGAATTTGATAAAATAAAATTCACTTTGTTTAGGCTGTATAAGCTTGGTGTTGTTAGTTGTGAAAAAATGGACACACTATTTCGTTTCAATTTGTTTTACAAGCCAGAAAACTATAGATATTGCTGTTCCTCATAATATATACGTCCGATTTATGTTAATTCGTATTATTAATCTAGTAGATTCACTTAAAACTTTAACTGAAACCTACATTAATTAACAATAATTTACACATATTCACTTTAACAGCCAGTAACGTTTGTATTATAGGAAAAAAATCGCAGCTTCGAGTAACAATAATCAGAAACGTCAGTTTTATCTATTAACTTATTAGAGTACCAAATTTTAATATTATTAATTTTAATGGAAGTATAGTTTAATGATTCTATTAATCAAAATAAAAGTTTACATTTCAATTATGTCCACGTAATAAGTCTGCTGTTCATTTTCGAAGAAAACTAGATATAATTTTAGGAAAATAGATGAAAACAAATGAGAAGTCATATGTATCTTACGAATAATATTACTCGATCAAAATTATACCGTTGATAATAACATTAAAAGCGAAAAGTATAATATAAATATAAGTATATATAAATATTTAAAGTAATGTTGTTAAAAAATTTTTTTTACATAAGACCATTTTTTCTCTATCATTGATTGTTATTTCACAAAATGCATAATAGGGGAGACCCGGGCAAAACGGACATAACAAATTATTTTGGTTATAGCGAATTACAATGTACAGGTATATTCTTCATATTATATAATGATAAGAATTTCAGTATGTGCGCAGTATCCGCGGTGATAACATCGAGTCTAACAGATATTATTTACGTATGATTTTTGGTATCTATGGAAGTGTATCAATTATTCGGTCTTTTAAACATACACTTTAAAAATAGCATGGGATTTGAGTAATTAATTATTAACAAAATAACTCTATAAGGATTCAATTAGCTTTCATAAATAAAAAAATGCCCTTTAATAAATAGAAAAGTAATTATTTATATCTAACACACCCTTTATCTAAAATTATGATTACATCTTTTTTACATTATTTATAATATTAAAAGTGATTTTCCATGTAATTTTTCCAGTTTGTCTATTTTTACTCCTTGTAGCTCGTATAGTTGGATCTTTGATGATGTTATATTTCCTTATTGGCGGTGCGGTTTACTTAGGGCTATTAAAAGATGAGTTATCGAACTAAATATTACTCTTAGCAAAAACGCTGAGAAACCGTATATGGTATGGAGGGTGGAACTTCTATTTACCATATCGACGGACAGCCCCTAATATCGAAATTTTTTAAAATATTTATTTTTCTTAAATTTTCCGTAGTTTCATAAGTAATTTCGAAACATCATTTATCAGCAGTAATTAAAATGGTCTACAAATATATGAGAAAATCAAATTGCAGACAATGGATTAAAAGAATATATGAAAGCGCGACTTTAAAAGAAATATTAAAAAATGGAAATGCGTTATTATTTATTTCTTTCTTTATTTATTTATTCCTATGTCTATTTTGCTCTAAAAATAACAAAGAATTTATTTATTTTCATTTAATTAATTTTTTTATTAATTTATCGTATTGGTTTGAATAATTTTTCAAAGCGGTTATTGCGCAGATGTACTGGCTATCATATTCATTTCACGTTAAAAATATAATATAAATTTTTTTTATTTGGTTCCTTTTTCTCTCAAATTTTCAGTGTCCGTCTTGCTCGGATCTCCCCTAGTACGTACAGGAAATGAGGAAGTGCAAGTAGGAACTTTTTTTATAATGGCATTGATTTGCTTAGTTTTAATTTGAATACCTCTTACAGCAATAATATGGCGAATTACTACGAAGAACGATTCATTCTTAATTACACCGTTACGCTCGCTTACATTGTGAATACTCCTTAAACGTTTGGTTAACTGATTGAGCAGTTAAGTAATATAATAACTCTAATGTAACTTCAAGCTTGTTCATAGACAACAGTAAGTCTTGAAATTTTATTAATTTAGCTTGTTCAATGAATATGCGCAACATATATTCAGAACTATTAAATTAATTACTGGATACTTTTTCTCATCATCGTAGAATACGACCATGAATAAAAATCATTAAACAGAGTATGATTGCAGAAAAAACTGCTCGAACAAAGAAGTACATAATAGGGATAGGTTTGATAAAATCATAAAATCAAATTATCTGTTACAATTTATTATAACTATATTTTTTTATGTTGTCATGGCTTACAACATTTTGTGCATATTTTAAAATTTTTTAATTTTGTTTGATTTCAAAATTTGCTTTTTAAAGTACATTAAATCTTGCTTCGAATGATATAAATAATATTGCGACGATATATTATCACTATATCGTTATAAATGTATATTAATTTTTCATTAAGAGTGTATAACAAGGATATCTATTATTTATCTAGGCACTATTAATCGTGATAGGCGTGTTTGGAAGGTGCTCATGCGTTATGCATTTGTTTTATAAACAAAAAATTTGATAAAAATCACCAGAAGTATATAAAAGAATCGTTTTATTATTGAGATATATTGACCTATTTAAAATTCTGCATATTATATAGTTCAATTATTCATGAATGTAAAATATAAACTCATATTAGATTTGCAAAAATAATCTTCTTATCAGTATAAAAATTACATTTTTATGTAAATTGAAAAAATAATGGCCAAGATCATTTCGATGAAATATTTTAATGGTGATGATTAGTAAAAAGTAACATGAATGATGAACAAATAAATATTAATACTTAGAACTATTTTTGTGCGTTAAAGAGTGCACTTATTTTTATTTTTTCCAATTGTAAATTGATTACGATGAATTCGTATAACAGAAGACAGCCTGTTTGCCTTTAATATAATGCATTAGTTTTAAGAATAAAATATATATGTAAATATATTTCAAAATAAATCAAACAAAACAAATAAGCACATAAAAAATGTAAGTACGGATGTATTATATATTCATAGTTACTTTTTTGGAGGACCCCGAAGGAAGATTGACATCATTAAAAAGTTTATTAATATTTCGTTTGTATATAAATTATCGACATGATCATATATGTATTAAAAAAAATTGCAAGACTAGATGAAGCTTACTTCAGCAAAATATAAAATAAAAGTAACTCTTGCACCATTCGTTACAAAAAATCAATTTACAATCGTTATTCAAGTATTTCATAGGATAGAAAGCAGACATTCAATGATTCCATTATTATTCTGTAACCATTGAGTTGAAAATCAAAAATTCAGTAAAATATTATGGTATATGAACTTTTGAAACATTGAAATGGAATTCGACGAAGTGAAGATCTGGATGCTGGAGTCTAAGTTGCAGAGCTACGCAGTCTGTTAACATCACTGGTTCTTCACAGGATTAACGAACCCGCACTGATGGTTTCCTCTTTAATTCAGGAGATTTTACAAAAATCCTACGAATAAATATAATCATGATGACATTGAAAAACGTTACACGAAGGCGATGTGAAGTAAAATGAAAGGTATTACTACAGATACAAACATGAAATTAATTTTTTTTCTTCGCAAAATCTATAATATTTTATTCACATCTCCTTTGCATTTAATAGTATATTGCACTCTCAAGCTACTTGTTAAAAAAGGACACACAAAATTCATCTCAAATCAAAGTATTATTAAGGCATATTTTTTAATTTAATAATATATTGAGATTATATTGGCGTGCAAGTTAATTATAATATTAAATTTTTTTTAATTACTGAAAACATTACTTTCACGATCAATTCTAATAAGCGTTAATTTTTTGATCATCAAAAGTATGAAGTATATTGCGTGTATACGTTAATTCAATCCGTTAGTTAAATCAAAATAGACATATCTATGTAGAATATAACTTGAAAGTAAAATGTTGTAAATATTCTTTTTTAATTAAATACAGTTAATATTTTCATACGCAAACCATTTTGTATTGATAGCTCAGCTAGGATTATTATATTGCATTCAAACAAAACATGTTAATGTTATTGACTTTGTGATTGGACAATACGCGAGGGTCAAACTACAATAAGCTTCGATTTTTTAAATATTGTAAATAATATTTTGTTAGCTGCGCAGTAAAAATGTTTAAAAATTAATGAACAATTATCACGTATGTATACCTCATTTCATGAAAAAGAAGAAAATGTTATATTACCCAATTATTATGATAATATCTAAATATTTTTTAAAATAAAATAAAAGTTAGGCATTATAAATGCAAACTTTCGTGATTCAATAAAAATCATTATCTTCGACACTTAGATTATTTTGAAAACGAAATTGTTAAATTTATCACAGACACAAGCTATATTACTATTGATTCGTATAAATAATAATTATCTAACGAGTTTCGAAGAATCCATACAGCAAATGATCAAAATTGTTATTTAAATACACATGAATTGACTTCATAGCAAGACCAACTTGAACTTGAAACACGACTTTTAAATTGTATGATTGCTAGCGCTACTCGAGATATTAATCAAAAATGTTTCTCATGCAATCTGCACGAATTTGTATTATGCATAAAAAAATTATGACAATTCTCAAGCATAAATGTATCAAATAATTTTTCACCATCAGCTTACCCATCCTACTCGCTCAGAACAGGAAGTAGAGACCTTTGCGGTCAAAAGAAAAATAAGTTATATGAAACGTTCAATGCAAATTTACTACTTATACTAATTAATTTTTTTTTATTTAACCGTTATGATTTTGAAATAATTATCCGTTTGGAATGTTAACGTTTATTTTTAATTATTGGTAGAAACAGTATGCTACTATTCATATTAACTTACAATTCTATGTTTTGAATAGTGGAAGATGAACACATCGAGTCAATTTTAACGTGACAATGTTTATGACATTTCATTTGACAGTCTCGACATTCATAGCCTTGTTTACCTAATCGGCGAGCCAACGTTTTTTTGCAAACTTCACATACTGTACCTCTGTAAATAAAATGATGTTATCATTTTCATTTGGCTAGCTATATAAAATTACAGAGGTATTTAAAGTATATTACCCAGGCATGTGCTTTGCAATGAATGTATGATCGTTGAAAATATGTAGTTTGGTGCCTTTTTTCTTCCATCTACTTTTTTGTGCCAATGATAATGGAACGAGATAATGTCTGTAATGCAGGTTTATGCATTATTATAGATTAATATTGAAAATTGTATCTCCTGATAGGCATCATTTTGCGTTTGCTAAATGACGTAAACGCAAACTACTATTGATAATAATCTTACTTTCGAATGCCATTTTCCATTGTTTCAAGCACCAAAGTAGACGCTTCATTGACATAAGTCCTCATCGAAGTACCACTGATTGCAGATGCTTCGCTCACACTTGATCTTCTTGAATGTTCTTCTCGTCCTGTAATTCGTAAAAGCTATTGTAATATCAAATACCTATCAAATAGAAAATATACGTAGAACGACTTTTAAGGATTGAGTTGCGGAAAAGAAAATGGAATTATTCATTGCACATCTTGGACATGAGGATAAGACTGAAAATATTTATATACTTTTTTACATTACGTTTATTTTTGGAAGTTCAATATATGTGGTATGCTATACATGCTCGCTCAAAATTTTAGATTGTTATGAAAACTCTTATTCACATAAATAAACTATTAATAACTTTTTTATTAATTATAATTTTTCCGTCTTCGTGCTTTGTTTGTAAAAACTGTATTGTTAGTAATTCTTAAGGATTTCAATCAATAGGGAATCATTTCATTCAATTATTATTTTTGTAATTTGTTTGGTGGTTTTTAATTATAACATCACAGAAAATCACCTAGGATATTTAAATAATTTAAACAAAAATCAATAAGCAACACTTAATTAAATTGTGTTAAATGTTAATTCATAAAAAATTAGCTTTAAGTTATGCTCACGTCTATGAATATTGTCGTTGCAAAGAGGTTGCAAAAGATACTACGAAACAAATTAATCATTTAAACCTTGCTTGTAAATACAGATGCACACCTTTTACTACTTGCTAATTTAATCATATCACGTAGAATCATCAATCTGAGTTTAGCAGTGTTAGAAAAAATTTTCGGCATTTAAATACTGAAAAAAATAAGCATAGGAAGATATTGTTATGTTGCTTTTATAATCAGTATAGAGTCTTTTAAATTGATTAATAGTCAACGTATATAGCACATATGAACCATCATTTAAAAAGCAAAACTAGCATCAAGTTGAATTGCATATTATAATAATTTTAAAGTTGGAGGATAATGGAAACAACATCCTTCAAATTTACAATAGATATCGAAATATATAAAGGAAATACAATAGGCACAAATAATTTATCGTTAATCATGCTCTTGCGAATTTAATTGAAACTTAAAAGATGGGGCGAAATAGCGTTTAGATTGATAGGCAACATGTATTGCAAAAGATATAACTTTATGAATGTAAACAGTGTGAACGTGATATTGTTTCGAATATATAAGTATAGTTAATAGTATATTATATCATGTGTTTTTACGACTTTAGAAACGAATTGAATTTTTCTGTAAATGTATATATCGTCTTATATTCCATTTAGTGATGAGCTGGATTTATAAAATAAATCAATATTCAGCCTTTTTTCTTATTTTTGTACATATCTAATTTTTAGTGTTGTAAAATCAATATAATAATCAATTAACTAATAAACTAATTACCAGATCCTGGATCTTTCGCTCTGTCAGCTGAAATTGATCTTGAATGAGCGTCTTCATGATCAGGATCCTCTTCGGGTCCAACTGATCGACTTCTTGTTTTTGAGCGACTCAACCTTTTTCTGATTGTCCCAAAAAAGTCTCTTCGTTTTCTCCTACTTCTTCCCCTATCTAACAAATATAAGTTTAAATGTATAAAAGGCTTTTGAAAAATTAGCTAGATATGTAATACCTTTCAATCCATCTGAATTTGATGTGGTACTATCTTGCCCTGTTGCATTCATCTCTTTATCCCCATTCTGAAAGGTATAATTTATTAAATAAAATAAAATAAAGATTATAGACGAAACATATAGTTTGAAAATTAGTTGTTAAATCAGATATGTCTAAGCATAAAACTACTGTTAAAATGAAATATATTTACTTCTACTGGGATTTCTGTCCATCCTCCATTTTCACTCAATCCGACCTGTTGCATCATTGTAAACAGAGCATTCAAAAAATGTTATTGTATTCGTTAATAGGATAAACTTTTGATCAAAAGAAATTTTTTTTAGTTTCAATATGCTATGATCAACTTACTATATGTTAGTCAAATTACGCTTACCTTGACGACTTGTCGCTCGGGTTGCTAGAAAAACCAAAATTACGCTTTATAATAGCGTCTTAGTGAAATATTCCAACATATTTTTCGCATGCATTTCAAACTAAACACACTTTGATCAAATAGAATTAGTCAAATAGCTTACTCTTTGTTGGCTATGGACAATCAATGTTCCCTTGTTACCATTAGATTGACCAGTTCTATACGGCGAATTAATAGCAGAAGTGCCGTTCGTCATAAAATCTGTAAAAGAAATTGATTATATTGTTTCTGATTTTTTATTTTAAGAGTATTTCTCTACGATTGATACAAAAAATCAAATCATTTCACAACATGAATATCATTGAACAGTTTTAATAGGTCACTATAATCTATGAAAATTAGTTAGGAACTGTTGGAATGATGAAACATATTGTTGGTATGTCTATAAAATATGAGTCAAATTAAGCACGTGCAACTTTCAAAACACAAATGACAGCGTTAAAAATCAAGATTAACCGTGCAAATCACGCTTTTTTATCGCACCATACTTGTAAAACTTTATAAAATTCTAACTATAACAATTCAATCCAAACTGTATTGATGTATGCCTGAAATTCTTTAAAAATGAAAATTACCTACTTTATGAAAATTTTAAGACGACTGCTGACAATCGTCAAGTTACCATTATACTGTTGTACTTCTTATTTCCGTCAATTACTACAATAACTCTCATTGAATTAAATCACACGATGATATTTGTCATTAGTGTATATGAATGTTTTGAATGATAGTAATGGTAAAAAAATATAAAGTTTTGAATCATACTGCAACATTTTGCGAAAACGCTTTGTACTTTGATACTTTTTTTCTAAAATGAAGTCTGGCTATTTTATAAATTGGCATGTTTATGGGTGGAGGCAAAACTCAAAATTAACTTAACAATTAAATCGAACCCAAAGGAACCATTCACTACTCAAAAGTATCATCACATATCTGCTTATCTACTTGCGGTAGCTTTCTTTTGATCTACTAAAATCTCAAGCAAATTAAAGTGTAGAATAAATAGTATAAACAGTTCAACTCGGAGACAGGCTTAAGACGGTGCATCTAAGATTTTCTGATATCAAGTGCAGTACATTCCAAATTTATAAAAAAATGTTCTTTGATGAAACATTATCATGAAATGTGTTTCAAATATGTAACTTTGAAAATGTAACTGATAAAAGTTGAAAGTCAGTTTCGAATGATTTCATCATGATAATTGTATGTGTGTTTGGTAATGGCTTTTAACACACACAAACACATAAACAATATAAAAGTAATTTACAATATTGACCTTAAAATTGGTAGATTTTGATTTATTTTGTATGCTGGATATTTCACTTACATTTATAAAGTTACTGAAAATTATTAAACACTTGAAATCTTTGAAATCATAATCATAAGAATATAAGACTAATATTTTAGTTTACAGGATAAAGGGGAAATAATAAAAAAGGCGACAGTGAATAGCCCCTTTGGGCAACAAGTAAGTGTCTTAGTGTTGAAAATCTACAACGTTGCTTTGCAATTTGTCTCGGTGACGAAGGAAAAAGAAACCAGAAAGTCGTCTACAAGTCGTTAGAAATGCAGACAAGGCGATCAATCAATCAATGAATGAATCAATCAATCAATCGGCCGGGCCGACAGTGCTTGGAAGATGCAGGCTTATTTGCTGATTGGTGCTCGCGGACTTGGCGTGTCTGTCGTCAATTGATATCGAAAAGAAATGTAATCTTTAGATCACTTATGTATCGATTGAAGGCGAGCACGCGGGGGTTCTGTCTCTTACTAGACGATAAGATCGATATTTACCGGCTCCCGGTTCGTTTGTAGAGTCGTACAAAATAAGTGTACTGTTACCGTTGTTATAGTTAATGCTAGTGTTGCTCAATAAGTTGTTTGTCGGATTGTAGGTACGTGTCGGTGAAGATGGCTGCTTGATCGTTTCCTTCACCTTGTAAGGCTTGTTGCCAATTTGAGGCACTTCCGCACCCTCGATAAAGAGAAACTGAAATAGTTAAAAATAAGCCCATCAGACAGTCCAAGATTGACGAGCGTTGCTCAATTGCCTGCCTCGCGCGCGCGCCTTCCTCAAACTTTATTGGCTTTTGTATAATTACTTCGACTGTGAGAGTGCCCGTCACTTCGTCTTCTTCGTAAGGTCGCGCTTGCAAAGGTATGATTTGCCTTTGACTCGGGTTCGCCAGCAACTCTTCCAGGCCGACGATACCGAGGCCCAGAAATCGCTCGCTCTTGTTCACTCGATCGTACACCTCCAGTAGCACTTCCGTCGTGCTTGGACTGACGTCGCTGCAAATTGCCAAACGTCACAGTCGAGCGAGCCGCAGCCAGCTGACGATAGCCGAGAATGGGGTGCACTTACAATAAAAACGCCTCGTCCCAGACGGGGCTCTTCGTTTCTTTCTTCACGGAAGTCTGATGCCTCTGCGGTGGCTCGTCGAGCTCCACCACGCAGTATGCTTCTTTGCATTGGCTCTGGCCGGCCAGATCCGCCGCTCGGACGACTTTCACCAGGAGTCGGCGTTCGCCCGGAGCGTATTGGTGTATCGCCGAGGTCGAGGAGTGGGCGTGGCCGGTCCGTCGGCTGATCGTCGAGCTCGAGCCACCCTGCACACGCGAGCGCCAGTCGGCGTCATTGCCAATGTCGAAAGTAGCCTGACCCAGCCTGAGCAGCTCTTGGCTTACCATGGTATCGTAGTGCAAAGGCATGGAGTAGCCCGACTGGTTGACGGGCTCGCGCCATAATCGAGGACAATTGATGTACTGAGATAGATTGAGGTGCAGGTTGGTGCCGCGTATCGCGCCCACAACGATTTCCGTAAGCAGTTCCTGCAGTTGAGCCTCGTCCAAGTCCTTCTTGATCGTGCCCACTGGCGCCAGAGAGACTTTCACCTGGAGTACAGTGACAAGCAGCAGAGGTTACTGAGCTCTACGCGAACAGAGTTGCCACTGCCGTGATACTGGCGACGCGTACGTTACCTCCGGCCAGCCGTCGCACTTGAGATCGACGAGCAGCTTCTCCGTGATGCAAACGACGTTGAGCCGGGCTCGGAAGCGATTCACGTTCACGCGGTAATGGCTTGCCTCGATCTTGTCGCCGTGCTGGCGGAAGGCCTTCAGCTGCAGTGCAGGTGTCGCCTCGCAGTCGCACGTTATCGTCTGCAAGCCACCATGTTAATCAACAGAGCAAAGCACATGTCGTGCGAGTTGCTTCTATTTGCTAACTCACCACGTCGTCCTTCGAGTCGCATTCGCAGAAGATGTTGGACAGAACAGGCGGGTGGGTTTCCGGCAGAACTCGAACGAATTCCACGCCGATTCCGTGCTGAAAAACAAACGTTGCCATATAAATTCTACTCGATGATGTTTGATCATTGGATTATTTTCAGTGAAAACTTTGCAATCATTCATGCGCGTTGATGCGCAGCTCGAAAAATAGCATACGAGGGAGCAATCCGAGGGCAAACAGAAAAGCAAAGTATATATAGGTTCACGCGTGGACGGTATAGACAGTGGGCCACGAATCGGCGTGGGCGTACATACAAACCGACACCGATCACACAGTGTCGGCGCTGCTGCTACCGCTGGTTCAACACTATTTCGGATGGGGACTTCCTGACGTCACTATGCCACTACGCGCGCGCGCGCGCGCGCGAGAGAGAGAGAGAGAGAGAGAGAGAGAGAGAGAGAGAGCAAGCGCAACGTAGCTGAATCATCGATACAGCTTAGCGCATCTCCTGATCGCTCGCATATTAGCTTTTATCGAGCTGCAGCTAGTCGTTCATTCGATGTGCGTGCAAGGTGGCTTCCTCTTGTTCTTTCTCAATGGAAATACAACTAAGCAGCACACCGGATGCCACTTAGAGCCGCTTGTACCAAGAATAAACACCAAAATGGTGCAGTCGCTTGTACGCAACGACTTCCAGAACAGCCGCTTTTCCGTTGATGATAACGATGACGAAATCGATGACTTCACCGTTCGAGCATCGACTCAAGAATACCCTTCTTACTCCCGCGTTGATTTTCCCTCCCTTTTGTTTTCAAGCGCAACAAATCCTCTGCGTGCACGAATCGTATCTTTGCGTTCGAGTATACCGAAAGAACTGCTATTTTTGAGCTGAAAAGCAAGTGAGATCGGTGTCGAGTAACACTTTCTCCGGAGCAATCAATACCTCGATCACTGCGCTCCAGATCAGCCGTCGAGAAAACTCCCAATTGATGCAAACATTTAGTCGAGTCAGATTTATTTGTCAACTTAGCCGCACGCTTATTAGCACGCGCACTCAGTTATGGAGGGAAGCTGTCCGAGAGCGTTCGATAATAATTCAATCATTGACGGGGCGTGGCGGATCCGACCTCTTATCGTCTGTCGAGGCTCTAAATTTAGAATGGAAATAAAGCGATTGCGCAGGTTAGACGAGCTCCAAATGACACCTGTTGCCCCTTGAGTAAAGATTCACGTTCGCGGACTGCTCACGTGTATCGCCGAGAGACAGAGAGACAAAGAGAGAGAGAGAGAGAGAGAGAGAGAGAGAGAGAGAGAGAGAGAGAGAGAGAGAGAGAGAGAGAGAGAGAGAGAGAGAGAAAGCGACGAGGGCGAGGCTGACAATTACTAGGCGGACAGAAAAGATAAGCTCGGGGGAGAAAAGAACGACATTGAGCGTGTTGGGACATTGCAAGACACATCTGTGGGATTGGCGAGCACAATACGCATTAAAAATAGTTTTGCCAGGCAGTGGGCTGGAGCGAGCAGAAGCCTACCTCGGCGATGGCGGAGGCGACGAAGTCGTTGAGCGAGTTGACCCAAACGGCGAGGAGCTCGTCGAGCACGACGAGGTCGGTGTGCAGCCAGCAGAGCATCTCGTTGGCCCATCTGACGGCCTCGGCGTCGGCACCCGTGGCCGCGGGCAGGTGCAGCGCCCGCGAGCTACGCGCCGGGCTGACCAGCGGCCCCGAGTTCTTGCGGGTGAGCCGCTTCCTGGCCGGCGGCGTGGGCGGCACGTAGGCCGCGGGGCCCGCGAGCGCGGCCGGACCGGCGGACGCGCCTGGGCCGGCGAGCTGGCTCCTGGAGGCGTTGGCCGACCTGGACTTGGCTACGGCGGCCGCCACCCCCGAGGCCGAGGCCCCGGCACCCAGCAGCAGCACGCTCTCGCCGATGGCGCCCAGGCCAGCGGCCGCGCTGTGCGCCTCCCTGGCGGCCGCGGCCGGCGGCCCGTGCTGCTGATGCGTCTGCTGCGGGCTGGCGGCGCTGGCGCTACTGGCACTGGCGGCCGAGTGCAGCGCGGTGGCCTTGCCGCGCTGGTAGAGCTTGTTGTAGACGAACTTGCCGACGCACAGCACCAGCAGGCCCAGCAGCATCCAGCCGAAGATGAGCATCGACAGGGTGTCCATTGTCGCGTCGGCGGACGGCTCGAAACTGCATATCAGATCGTCCACCCGCTCGGCCAAGTCGGCCATATTGGCCCATCCTCCTGCCAGCCAGGTCCAATTGGACGTCGTGAGCATTCTTCGGCTATTTTCACCCGCAAGCTCGAGCGGCGTGCCGCCGCCGCCGCCGCCGCCGCCGCCGCAGCCGATCAGCGCCGCCACGCACCGACTCGCGCTCTATTTATAGGCCTCGAGCGGCATGCACGCGTGGCCTGACCCGGCACACGGCAGCAGCCAGCTCCGGCGCTTCGGACGCCCGTCGAGCTTTCCTCGCCGGCAGCCGCTCGCCTCCTCTGACTAGCAGCGCACCAACTCGCTGCGGCTTTCGAGTTCGTCGCGTCGAGCAGCGGCCAGCCTCATCTCCTCTTGCCTCAGCTGTCGCGTCGATTGCGCTGAGAACCGGCCCTCGACCTTGCCACAGTGCCGCGGGTGGTTGCCGACGAAGCTACTGCTCACCTGGGCCTTGCATTGGTGTCCTCGGAACTAGCGTCTCTTCGCGTCGATTGTCCTTGGCGAAAATTCACGAGCGAATGCCTCCGTCGTCTTTTGCCACGCTGCAATAGTAAGCAGCGAAACGTTACTTTGCATTCACAGTTCTGGAAACGGCTGCATGACGTGTTTCATTGATACTCTACCTCGCTTTATTCGACATCGCTATCCTGACGCCTACTCCTCCGCATCCGCTCACAAGTCGTCAGCGATATTATTAGCATGCTCAGACTGAAAAATGAAAGCGGAAATTAGTCGGGCAGCCAATTACTAAAGGGATTTGTGATGCCTGTTCATCGGCTGTTAGTTTGAAAGCGTGTGAGTTTTGTGCTACACTGTAGAACTGTGCAACAGAGTTGTTTTAAGATAATTAAACTTGAGCGAAAGTCTGCAACGTAATTTAGCGCTGCCTAATGCGTATTCGAGGATGAAATTGAAGTAGGCATGGCTCGAAATATAAGAAATTGATGCGGGTGTCCGCCCATTTAAAGACGTGGTCAACGAGGAAGCGGGCGACCTTGAGATAATTGGAAGAGTCGACACCGCTTATTGCGCTAGTAGCCGATAACAGGGCGCTGACGAAAGAGAGAGAGAGAGAGAGGGAGATGCAACAGTCAGGAGGTCAATCGATTAACGACAAAACGACGAGCCAGCGGGGATCCAGCGAGACTAAACGAGGTCGATTCGATCGTAAAATCTTGCCGGCGACACTGATTTCTCGGCTCATTCGTCTCGATACACCGATGATCACACGCAAACATAAAATTCTTCAGCTTCTCGGTTACGTAAAGCATTCAGCAAGAAGACTGGATATACGTGACAGTGCTTCCATGCGTGCTTTGAGAATAGTTCGAGCCTCTTCAATCGGACATTAAAGTTTGTTACGACCACTAATTAGCAAGATAAACAACACTTCATTAAGAGACTAATGATATAATCGCAACTGTGTTTCTTCTAGTACACCAATCAAATAGTTTAATACAAAGCAACTGGAGTCGTTGATACAATGGAAGCACATTACTTATAGCATTTAAGGGCTTTCAGACAGAAAACAATCCAATTAAAATCCATGTTAATCTACCACTGACATAATTGTTTATGTAAACCGCATTTCTCTAGGCTATTTCATTGGGTTTGCTTTACTGATTTTTACGTAACGTGAGGAGTGCCACCATAACATTCAATGAATAAAATCTTCTTTTTCTATTTTTTAACGGATTAAAAAACTATCAAAGTCAACTTATTTAAAAATTAAATTCAATAAAATAAATAATACGTAATCAACTAATTTCGGTAGCATTGATGTTAAATGTACAATCTAAATGTACTACAGAAACTTTTGAAATCTATCTATTATCAAGAAATATTATTTTTTCATAGAATACTGGACGTCGTTTTCACTTTACAGATTAGATGTAAGACGTAGAAATAAATGGCTTTGCTATCTTATGAAATGTGTTTTCAAGTTGGTGCCTTAACTGCGTGAGTCACAGTTTTACACGCTGGCGCGGCTATTGTGTGCCAATAAATACGAGTCTAAAACTCGAAAGATACGTATGTTAATACAGAAGATAGAAAAAAAAAGAAATACGTCGAGTCTTCTTATATTCGACTAGTACGCAATATAATGCATGTGTGTCAATGTTGCTCAAGAGTACAAGTGTTTTTGTCGGTTAACGTTAGAAAATTAGAATTTATGACATTGTCTTTATAAATAGAAGTGTAAACAATCCTATCAGGAATGCAGTGAAACAGCGAGCTGTATAAGCACTGCATGAAAACAGTTGTACACAAGCATTGAAACAACGCGTAAGAAACGAAGCTTAAGCCCCTTATTCATGAGTGTATGCTACCCTTCGTTGCACACCCTTCAGCCCTACTCGACGCGTTCGTTGTTCGCTATCGGGCATCGATTTCCGTGGCCTCTACGTATATCTTTAAAACAGAAACACTCGCCTCTATATAGCCGCACCTAAATGTCTTTCACCTCGGCTTTTGCCGCTCGATCTCTCGCTCTCGCGATTCAAGATAAACCTTTACACGTTCGTTCGTTCGCACGCGCGCGCGCACACACACACAGCTGTTATTCCCACGTTCTTAACTTGCCTCTTCGTTTCTATTTTTTAAACAAAAGTAACACAGGGCAAAATTACAAAACGAACAGTGCAAAATCAACTCACTACGCACCGACTTGATCATTAAAAAGCTTTTTATTTTATTACGGTAGTTTGGTGATAACGGTAAAACAACTGTTTTATGAGAACCGTGACTTTCAAAAGAACTACCGAGTAAATAAGACAATTCGATTCGGAATAGAAAAAACTGGTGCGCTAATTATAAAAAATTGCTCGAAAAAAAGCTCTGCCTTCCCGTTTAAAATTCACGAGACAATGTCTGGTATAACCTAAAAATCTATGACCATTCAACAATGTTCGACTTTCACGTGTTATCGTCGGAATGGTCAAATACAGGTTGCAATCTTGTACTAATGCTCTCGGTTAAATAATCCATTAAGCGTTGCATTAAATTGGTGAGAGGGATCGAAGGAAACAAAAAGCAGCGAGACTTGCAACTTGTCGATTCATAACAATAATTATTCACAACTGTTATCTGATAAACGGACGACGCATCGATGAATTTCGGGATCAATCAGAAGCAAAGTTGCGGCGGTGGTACCTTGGTGAAAGTGCAGCACAGAGTCCAGGACTGAAAGTGTAAAAAAGGAAAACTGGAGCCGCAACGCAGCGTGAAACAACGGCTGAACGATGCGCGTCGGTCACACTGTCGCGACACGCGCTGTGCTCTAACTATACCTATGCAGCAGAGCGAGAGCAGAGCGAAACTGAAGGGAGATGGCGCGAGTTGGATAAGCGCGAGCAGGCGTACTCGCCGCGAAGGAGAACACGCACACTCGCTGCGTATACTCGCGACTGCTATGACGCGGCTCCCTTTCCTCCTTTCTTTTTTGCTTTTCCGCATTAGCGCCACACGCTGCCAACTGCGTTGCTCCGTAATTACCCCTGCTTTTTGCGCAGTCTGACTTATAAGCGAATGATGCTCCACGGCTCGAGTGCGATCGCACAAGCCACAAGCACAGTAGCATGTGCACTAAGGGCGTAATATTCGTGTGCACGTGCGTCGCTTGACGGTAGACGCGCGCATTTTATTTTGTCGTCTGCTATCGATCGGCTCTCGCGACGTCAGAAGCATTTGGCACATTCTACATACACTACGCGTGCATGCATGCGAGACAATCTGACGCCAAAGCCAAGGGGCATGCAAGTTGGGGTGTGCGAGCCAAGATAGCACAAACCCCTACTAGTATATATGGTCACGAGGTTGTAACGTGCGATTTCACGTGCCTTTTGCTAACACCCTATATTCTCTATACGAATCATCGATATCTGACCGACTCTAGCAAACTTACCAAAATTTTAGTATCTATCACTGTGCAGTATTAGAAAACTATTAATCAGAGACATTATGTGATTAAAAATCATTTTTATCCTTGCCGAACTTAGAAACGAGTAGATAATGTTCATATTTTATTGTCAGTTAACATTTGCACAGATTGCCACATGACTCGTATCGAATCCTCTAATTCTTTTATTTACATTGATTCGATCAGTGTTCAGTCTACTGACTGAATTCCATGTTCTTATTCTCGCTTTTCAAGGAAATATTTTCGTTAACTTGCATTTTATCAGTTATCTGGAAGCATTTTCAGTACTATTTTTAATAAATCGATATAGAAACAAACTCGAACAATGATTTTGCATTGTTTGCGTAGACTTTTTTAAAACTATTCCAACAGAGAATCTCCAGATATGCAAACTTAATATGATCCAGAATAGAAACTCAATACAGGTCATACCCAATTGAAGGTTACTATGTTGTCGAGAACTTTTCAAAAAGATTCATGCTAACTAAATCATTTAATTAGACATCTAACCCATTTACTTTTTTGTAGGAATTAGCCTGTTAGTATTGCGAGGAAAATGTTTATCCACTCACGTGGAAATGAAATTAGTCATATATAACGTAACACCGTACATAAAAATAAAACAAATTCTGATATATAATCGTCAAAACCTTCCATTTTTCAATACTATCTGATCATGATATAATCGATTAAAAGTCTACATATAATTTTTAAAAAGCCAGTTTTATTGAAAAATTCAAATAACTTTATAAATTATAACTATTTCAATGAGGATTCGTTATATTGTTACAAATAATTTATAATTCAACTTTTGCCTTTTTTTCAATAAATTACTGACGATAACTTGCGTAGACATAAATGTTTTATTGTTTATCATTCATTTACATTAATTAAAGTGCGCCGCATGTTGGTTTTTTTTAATTTTTTAAATGTACGTCACTCTTAACTGTTATTTTAATCTATATCCAAATTGAATAACGACACTGCAGTTCGCACGATTAACTCGTTGATACATAAAGTACATTCCACATTCGAGCATTTAAAAAAGAAGACAAATGCTGCAAATGTAGATCAAAATACAACCAATTCGCACTTCTTCGTAATGAATACTGAATTCAAACAAAAATTATTGTCTTTCTATAAAATAACTGAAATACTGTAAAAAGAAATCGCGAGGATATTTTGACTATTCGACATTGAATATAAGGAAAATACTAAAGAAATCGGTACTGGCAAATGAAAAAATTTAGAAAAAATTTATTTGACCACAAGGCTATCGGGGATGATAAAGCATTTATGTGAAAATGAAACATCATTCAAACTGAGCCAGTAATTAGTTTTCACACAAGACATTGCCAATGATTGTTTGATAGTTTAAAGTCCATATTCCAGCGTCGTCTACATGTACTTACTTTGGCGTTTTTGCCATTACAATTTCCATAAAGGATGATTCTACATTGTTTGTTTAATTGTGCAGCTAAAATGATTACAAAATGAATTAAAAAGATTCTTTCTGCAACATTTATAATACTAGTCGCTTCGCTTAGGTCCATCGAAATCGTAAACTACTTAAAGGCTATAAACTTTATTCGTTTGTGTTTAATCATATACTGTATAAATGCAGCTATTTAATACTAACTTTTCCGGCGACTGTTCCTTGCTTTCAAGTTATTACTATTATAACCATACTGAATATTAGTGTTATTCATATTACTTTGCTTATTATTTTATGTAATGTTTTATCATTCTCGTGAGTTTATTGAGTTGATCAAGACTAACTTTGTCAATCAAGTTTGTTTGATCGTGTATTTCCATGAGTATTACCAAATGACAATTCTATCTTTCGAATCGAATACTCAAGGTTAGGTATACAGAGTAGTATATTTTTACGTATTCTTTTAAACCTTTCAATGTTGATATTTGATTCCTTCAACTAAATGGAAGTAAAACCATGGACAAATTTTTGGAGTAACTCGTCGATTGGCCTTTCTCAATTTCATAGTGCGTCGTTTTATTAATTCGTAAGTAGTAAATCAAAAATAAATATATCCTACTGGAAGAGCCCATGTAGAAATGTATTTACAAAAGGACACGCAAGGAAAACGAATTAATGAAATTATATTGGATGCTCTCGAAAACTATTTATGTTATTAGAATTCCTGTTATTGAAATAAAATTAATGAAAAAGTATCCACTTACAATCGCGAACGTCGTGTTTTTAACCTTCGCTACTTATATTGTTATATATCAAAAAAAAGCAAACAGCGATTATTTATCAATCGTGCAGAACATAAAAAAAGCACAAGAAGCGTTATAAGTGCCTTGTTAAGCTTATATAATCTATATAAATATATAAAAAGTATAAAAAAAGGTTTGAAAACTGAGTTTTTTCACGTCATCCTATATTTTTGTGTAACGTTATTTTACTGTCCTTTTTGCCGTCTCAATCTCAATCAAAAGTCAATAATCTACTTCTCTATCATATTAACTTCAATACATTACTCACTTTTCTCTTATACTTATTCTTTTGTAACTACAATCAATAATTACTAAGACGCCTTACTGTTTCCACCATAGAAATAACTCACTTATATTTGTTCGTCGTATCTAGACTAGAAAATCCGCCATCATAAAATTCTCCTTCGTTAAAAGGGTTGCAAAGTGGAATACAATTAAATGCCTTTATTAGAGTTGTTCGACGAACAATGAAAGATATTTTAACAATATCAAAAAATTCAAATAGATTGTTGTTCACTACTCTCAGAAGTGCAATCCACTTTGCAACAAAGAATCTTTTTGAAATTCTGCTGGAAGCTTGAGAACAAGCGTTCAAGGACGACGACAACGCAGAAAACCCCCGGAAATTTTTGGAAAATCTTTGCAAGACAGAATACTTTGATTCGTTCTCATTCTTACAATTTAGATTGATGTTTGACATGCCGTTATTATTAATTAAATATCTTATTTCTTATTATTCAGTCATATAGATTTTCTGAAATTCGATTGTTTTTTTTTTAATTTTTTGTTTTTGTTATTTTTTTCGACAATTGTAAAAATTTAAGAAATTTGCGTCTCTTGCATAACGCATATATAAAATTATTTTCATATAAAAATCGTCAATTGGAATTATTTATCGCCATTGCGTCGTCACGTTACATTTTTCACATGCTATAATATTTTTCGTAGACTTAAAAACTAGGATGAAAGTTTTGGTTTTTCTACCGAAAATAAGTAAGTAAAATGCATCAAATATGTTCTTTTTTTAATTCCTGGCGACCATCTAAATGCATGAATTAAAATTAGCTGCAATAATTCTTGTCAAGTAATTAAAAAGTTGTTTTATATGAAATTGAAGTGTTATTATAAACTAAAATAAATTCAAATAAGATAAAAATTTTAGTAAGAACTCAAATTTTTTTCTTTTAAATTGAAATAGTTAATAAACGAAAAGAACTTTAAGATTTAGCATTTTACTTTTATAAACACCTCAACTTCGTGGTTAAAAAGTCAAAAAATTCTGTACAAGTTTACAAGTAAGAGTGGGATAATCTTACAAGAAAGGCTTTACGAATCGGACAAATCACATTTGAGAACCCGTTAGATTGTTATTCTTTCGAAACATTTAAAGTTGCCATTCAAAAACCCAGTAAACTAACTAAATAGTATGAAATTTCAAGTATTCATACATAAACTAAAATTATTTATAATTTTCTCGTCAAAAGCTATAAAAAGAAATATGCCAATTGAAAGTCACTGCAAATTAATAATAGTAATATTTTAGAATGTCAGATTGTTAAGTGTGAATGACTATTTCAACAATTTTAATTAAGAATAAACAATCTAGAAAATAGTGCATGGCCCGCAAGTTACACCTATTATATGAGTGAGTCTTTTGTTTTTATACCATTCTTGGCAGTGAAAACACAATTTGTTTGTCGCTTCGCCACTAAGATTGTCCATTTTATTGTGCGTGTTGCGCATTGAAATAAGCCCACTCATTTGATTCATCTAAATCGTAGAAAATCACTGGAGATAAACATTTTCAAAAACCTTAAAAATTCAAAGATGCTCTTGAATTTTCAAAAGTTTGTTTGCACTGTACATTACAAGAAAATGTACTGAATTGCAATTTTATGCCGTGTAATCTATTGATCTATAATTCAAAATTGTACGTTGTCTTTGTAAATTAGTATCTCAAACGGCATTCTTATGACTATATCTTAAATGCAACGAGCCCGCGTCCGTCTCCGTGATATCATATATCATGCTACATAAACGTACTTACACAGAAATGGCTGATATACATGGATATAACTACACTGTACTCGCGATTGCGTAATAAAAACCTGCATCCAAAACGGCTGTACTTGTGGATGACGCTTTTGCTTGAGCTATCTAGTCAAATCTCTTGTTAATCCCTTTGTTAGCTAATTTGTGTCTTCGTTCTTCTTACTCCTGCTGTATTAACGTGACCTTTATCTTCTATTCAGTTCACTTTTCACAGCTAATACGAGCAAGTTAAAAAAAATGCATATTATTAACCAAATAGAAAAGCTAAAAACTCGACAAGTATTGAACAAAAAAAAGCTAAAAGTAAGTGATTGAACTTTACCGTCAACAATTTCTTGTTTTATCTTCTGAAATTCTTTCCGCACTTCCTTCATTAGTTCTACTTTGAAGGCCTCCATATCCTGTGCGGTTATCGATGAACCGTCATTAACACCATTAACTTTGAGGAGAGTGTCCTCGGATGCAGAACCAAACCTTTTGCGGTGAGCCTTGGGCGATTCAGCGCCATTTGAAAATTTATTATTGCTGGCGCTATTTGAAATCGTTGAGTTATTTTTATCCCAAGACTTTTTGTCGGGAGAACTGTCAGGTTCCTGCAATGGCGAGAAAACAACGATAAGTCAATAAAATTAAAATTAAAGTATAATGCACCGCGTGTAACAAAAATAATTGTCATCGTACGGGTGGCTGTTCTGGCTGCTTCTTTTCGACGGCAGCTCGTCTACGAGCAAGCGTCTTTGCCATTTCCATCATCAATGGCGCCCCTAACGCACCGGCTACCCCGTCGCCTCCACCGCTATTACGTCCGAGCGTTCCATAATTTCCGCCACCACTTCCGCTGCTGCTGGTGCTTGAGCCACTATTTTCTATTGGTTGTGACTGCTACATTGAAAAAAGAAACAGTTGATTCCTTGGTTTGTCGTTTAGAGAGAAGAAAATTATCATATTTTGAAGTGAAAAATAATACCAACTGATATTAACTTATAATAAGTGGATAACGTCACAGTCAAGTTTCAAACATAAAATGAGAGCTATTTCTATGAATTTGTATCTAATGACGGGTAGGATAAAAGTGATTTTGATGTAAAATAAAATAGGTGAAGTAGATTATTTAAATGTCTTTTAGATACTTGTAGTTTTACCTGTAACCTCCCAGTAAGCAAGCTGTGAAAGAGCTACGGAAAACCCGTAAAACTTCTAGTGAACTATTTGGTGAACGAAGTTATGAAATTTCACGAATTAAAGATTAATGATGGCTAAATATGAGTGTACACAAGAATGAATGTCAAGATAATTATTCGGCAGTGATCGGAGATTATAATCAACGAGAAGTCTAAAGAGTGTCGACTGTGAATGCAGCTTCGATTATCAATACACATAAGTGTAGTGGCGAACGCACCTGCTTCTTCTTGAGCTTAGCCGCCTGCAAGGCCGCGGCGAGCGAGTTGACGTCGGGCGGCGCCGGCGGGCCGTCCTGGCCGTTGGCGCTGGGGGCCGGTGGCGGTGGTGGCGGTGGCGGCGCGACCGCCTGCATCGGCGGGGGAGGCGGCGCGGGCGGGGGCGCGGCGGCCTGCATGGCCGGGGCCTGCAGGGCCGGCGGAGCGGGAGCGCTGCTGAGGGGAGCATAAGCGTTAAGCTCGGGCTGCTGCTGGTAGGCCTGGTTGAGGCTATTGGCCGGGGTGCCGTAGGGATTGTGCACGAGCACGGGACTGCCGGCGGCCTGCAGCGGCAACTGGTGGTAGGGCGCCTGGGTCTGGCTGTAGCCGGTCGCGTACTGGCTATTCAGCGAGGCCCGGCTGCCGTACTGGCTGGCGGTCGACGCGTACTGCTGCGCCTGGTAAGAACCGCAGCCTGGCTGGGGCCCTAGGGCCACGGCCGGCCCAACCCCGACCTGCCCGCCGACAGTCCCGTAGATGCCCCCTATGGCCGCGGCCGTCGACTGCTGGGACTGCGCGTACTGTTGGCCGACGCCTCCGGGGAAGTTCATCATCGGCGGGGCAGGCGGTGCTGCTGGTGGCTGCGGCGGCGGCGCCGGCGGCATCTGTTGCTGCTGCTGCTGCAACGCCGGGCCCTGGGGCGCCGGAGCCGGCGGTGCCGACGAGGTCCTGTGATGGCCCGACTGCTGCTGTTGCTGCTGTTGCTGCTGCTGGTTCATCACGTTCGGCGGACAGCTAGGCGACACTGCGTTCAGGCCGTTGCTCACTGCAAATGCCAAGCGTCCAATTGTCGATCAGTTGAAGCACGGCTCAGATTTACAGCGGCAAGGCTATACAAATCCTCTACTGACCTTGGTTTTGAGACATTCTGCGTTCCTGGATAATGGCGACATCTTCTCTTGTCATCGTCCTGCGCAAACGAAATTGATCGATTGTAAGGAGTCTTGGGAATAGGGTGGATTTGCTAGGCGCGAGAGACAGGCTATTCATACGAGCTTCCCAGATATGGGCATTGTTTCGGTAGGGAACGGAAACAAAGTCATTTCTCACACTTATTTTCGTACGGAGCTAGGATGTGCGCTCGTGCGTGCGGGATAGTAGGTCGGCAACTCACCGATATCCCATATCTTCGTCGTACTGAGAATTAGGCTGCTGTTGTTGTACGATTTGCTGCTGCTGTTGCTGATAGACGGGTGGTGGTGGTTGCTGCTGCTGTTGCTGTTGTTGCTGCTGCTGCTGTGCTTGTTGCTGCTGCTGCTGCTGCTGCTGCTGCTGAGTGACAGGAGCAAGTGTCGGGCCAACGTTTCTCGGTATGCTTGTGCCGTTGCTCAGCACCTAAAAATCCAGCAAATTAACAAGAGCCACTGGTTTTTTTCGTCAATGGAGAAAAGAGAAAACACCAACGTCGAGGGCTTGGAGCATGGCCTTGGCGAAGGCATCGGCGTCGTCCTTGCTGGAGAAGTTGAGTCCGTAAACCTGCTTGTTGTCGCGCCACTGGTGGAAGGTGACCGTGGCCTGGTTGTACTTGAGACCGCGCAGAATGGCGCAGTTCATGACGATCTCGTGGTCCTGGAGCTTGCGCCCGACCACGCGGAAGGTGTTGTTAAGCTGGTGGTGGTAGAGTTGTACCTTGGACAGACCCGAGGAGCTGCCGCTCGGCACCCACTTCTTGTTGACGTCGTCGTAGACCATGACCGAGGCCCGCGCCGACGATATGCTCACTTCCCTGCAACAGTGGCAAGAAAGAAGTGCGACATCAGATGGGGTTGCGGATCAGGGGATCAACGGATCAGCGGGATCGGAGGAGGCGGCGCGACGGAGGCTACCGGTGAGCGGCGACGAGCCTGGCCCGGGAGCGTCTGGACTCGTGGCCGCTGAGGCGCATCTGGTAGAGGCTGCCCGAACGGAAGGCGTTCATCGCGCGCCTCAGCGGTCCGCGCAGGAGCGCGGAAGGCAGCAGCGATCGCCGCGGCTCGACTGAGGCGAGGAACCGGGGCAGGCGCTCGGTCACGCGCTCGAGTCCGCGAGCAAATCGGATGTAGCGCCGCTGATAGCCGCTCCGCTCGGCCGCCGGCGAAGCCTCTCTCTTTTCGCGCGCGCGCTCTATCAGCCGCGCGGCCGCAGCGCCCTGAGCAGATATACCTCAGCGGACTGCTTCCGCCTGCTGCAATCGCGCGCGGCCCGCTTTCCTGCTTCTTCTGCTGCGCACTTGCGGAGCGGCCAGCTGTACCCAGCTGGGGGAAGGGGCATCTGTACGCCGACAGAAATCGGCACTGAGCGCACTCTCCCCGAGCACCACGGATGTATTTCGCGGAAGCGCTGCGCTCCCGGATCTCGAGCGCTGGCGACGGCGGTGTAGCGCTCTACGAGCGAGCGCCCCTCCTCCGCGCGCAAACAGCCCCCGACGATCGGCAGGCCGACAGGCGAGCCTTGACGCTCTGAAAAGCGCGCGCCTCTACGCGACTGGCCGAGCGGTCGCCGAGCGGTCGCCGAGCGCAGCCACCGAGCGCAGCCGCCGATTAATAGCGCGAGGAGCGCGAGGAGCGCGACGAGTCGCTCTCCGGCAGCTGCGTCGTCGGATGGGGCTCTCCATTAGCGATCGCGAGCCGCACTCGTTGGCTGGCTTTGCGCAAGCAGCGTTTCTCCCAAATAATCCTCTGCTCGGCAGTTCGTCGCCGCAACGCCCTCTCGACGCTCGGCGCTTGAGCAACGCTCCATGAAATTGGCCTCGACCGGTTTTTCCACTCGCATATTTAGCCTACTTCGCCTAATTACAAATCTGCGCGTTGTTCCCTGCGGAACGTAGCGCGCTGGCTGCGACGATCCGAATAACCGATTGATCAGCAGTCGCATCGGCGAGCGCACGCAAGCATTCGAAGGGAACGCGCAGCGCCGATGCGTGACTCGTGCCGACAAAGTGCTTGCGTGCGACACAGTTGTCCAATGTCGCCGCGAGCGCGAGTCAAGTGGCGACTGCACGCGAAAAGGCGGTTGCGCGTGGCTAGCTCTGATGCATCGTTCGATGCTGCGTCTGCTCGTTTACCAGCCATGTATTTATTGTACGAGCGAGTCAGGACAGCAGCTCGGAATCCAGGTCGCGAGCGGGAAGACAGCGGCCCGCGGCCGAACAGCTGGCGCGAGCGCGAGCGACCGGCAAGCGAGAGTGGGCAGTCGCGGGCAGTCGGCAGCTGAGCAGCGCGATCGCAAGTTAACGATAAGCGGCAGCGAGCATTGGCCGGAGAAACGCGGAAGCTGCACTGCCGGCGAAAGTAGCAAGTGGCGAAGGTGCGGTGCTCGCGGTCCGAGCTGCTCCACCTGGTTACGACGCCACGGCCAACTCGAGTTCCTCTGCCTGCGCGCCCCCTTGGCTCGACCGTTTGTCGCGCGCGCGTCTCTGCACGCGGACGGGGCACGTAGCTCGCTCGCCTTATCGAAGCCGAGCTCGCTCCTCCTCTCTATCGAAAGACAAACATTCGGCGCGATAAGCCGCCAGCTCGCTCGCCAGCTTTCGTCGGCCGGAGTCGTCCGAGGCTCTGTCGCGAGCCGGGAAAGCTTTGGACCGGTAGCCGCCTAAGTTTCGAGGCGTCCCGGACCAACCGCGGGCCAATGCTCGCGGTCGATTTGGCCAGCCGCCTATTCCTCGGCTCGCATTGCGCTTCTTCGCCCAGACGCACCGGATGCAGGTCGAGCGCGCGCGATCACAGCCTTTCCCTTTTGAGTCTTAGCGCGGAGAGCTGGCCGCTCCGGCCTCAACTAGACGCAACCTTTTGCCGCGCGCGACCGCGCGACCCGTCGCCTACCACTCGTTCCTACTTCAATGTGCTCTGCGCTCTCTGCCGTGCATCTCGCCTAATTAGCTTCCGACCAAGCTTGCGCTCGTTTTCGGCGATCCGCCAGGCGACTCGCAGCAGCAAGCACGTGCTCGCGATTACGGCCGATCGATGCATCAGTGCGAGGCGCGAAGCGGCGCAAGGATAATGCTCGCTCTGACGGACAGCACGAGCACGAGCCATCCTTGGCATTCCGACTACCTGCACGCAACTTGCGTATCCGGGATTCACGGAATGCCTACACGACTGACCTCCTAATCGTCGACGCTCCGTTCGTTCACAGCTTGTGCTATTTCATTGCAATTGGACAGTCGCTGATTCAACAGCAGAAGCAAGACGAAGCGTTAATTGATCGAGCCTGATCTTGGCCAATCGGGTATCTGTTACGAATGGTTGAGCTGTCGCTATCAGCTGACGAAACAGTGCACCCAGCGAAAGTGCGCGTGTGTCGCGTGAGTCAGCGGAGATCCGGAAATCTCAGGTGTAATCTGTGGCGATTACGGAAAGGCCGCGTGACCGCACGCAGGAGCTTTCTTGGAAACAGCGTCATCGAGGAGAATCCACGATCGCTCATCGACGCGGATGATTAATCGAGCGCCTCCAGCACTAAAAGAAGTGTGTGTCCCCTAAGACGAGGTTGCTCTTCATATAATTAATAATGCAAGAGGGTTATTCGCCAAGCGCGGACTGTCTGCGCTCTGCAATCGGGACGTTTGAACGACACGCGAGAGCAATTAGGTCGGATCAGGCGCTACGGATCGAACGGCGCCGCCACCGCCGCCGCCACCTCGTCACGCCTCGCTCGTCTTTGTTTTTCCTCTTTTCTTTTTCGACCTGGGAGAAATCTCGAGCGGGCTCGGATAATGCAGATCTTTCTATTTCGCTCGAAGGAACAAAGGGCCAGAGCGCACAGCTATACGACAAGAGAGCCGGGAGCTTCTCTCGGCTGGCAAAAAAGGAACGGCCGAGGAACGAGAATAATAACTTGGCGCGCGCGTAGCCGAGTTGCTTGCAAACATTTACCACGGATGAGGCTGGCCAGAGTGCCAAAGTAATGAGATTTTTTTTTCCTTCCCGGCAAATCTCTCAGCAGCCGCGAGCCGACAACTGTTTGCAGCATAAAATATTGATTTTTTTCTCTCCTCTTCCTTCTCTACTTCGATCTTTCTTACTGGGCTTCTGTAGCACTACGCGTATTGCAGCAGCATCGTAATTGTCGTTTTCTACGAACGACACTCAACTGTCGCTGCATCGCCAATTTCTCGAGAACTGAGGCAAATGTTGATGGAAACAATGCGCGCCGCAGCGCATTTTTTCTACGTAGACCTCACAATAGCCTACATTTCCAATTTAACCGCGTTCCGCCGCACCATTCCTCCGGATCAGATGCACATATCCTCAACTTCTCCTTCTTTCCAGTCATCGACTCGTATCAAAGATATTTATAAGTCGCGCATGCAAGTAATGAAAATCCAATAAAGTACCGTTAATGAGCGAGTCCGCAGTCGATAAACTCGCCGTGCAGCGTATATACAGCACCGAGCTAACGCCAGAGTTGGAAAAAGGACGTCGAGGATTAAGCGACACGAGAAGGAGCGCGGCGCGAGCGATGACTGTAACCGAGAATAGCCGAGAGAAAAAAGGAGCAAGAGAGACCAAACGAAAGAGAGGGGGCAGCGAGAGAAAAAGAAAGACAGACAATGCACTGATGAATGCGAAACACAGAGACGAAGAGTGAAAGAGGCCTGGGGAGAAAACAAAGTATTTCGTGCGAAATCTAGACGCAGCAGTCGTCGAGTATCTCTCACGTCCAGCGTGCCATAAAACTTGAGCATACTCCGCGTCTCTCGCTTTCTCCTCAGACAGGGAAAGTGTCAAAGTGCAGAACAACGAAATTGGAGAAAGAGGCAAGCAGAAGCTCGTGGAAGCTCGACCGACTCTTCCTCGAGAAAAACTATCTGGGCCCTAATGCCGGGTACAAAGAAGAGAAAGAGATATAGAGGAAACACTCTGACAACTGCTTCCTCTGTCGCTGTTGGAATAGCGTCCTCGGCCAATCACCTCTCTCTCTCTCGTTCTTTCTCCTTTTCTCTTCTTGTCGCTCTATGTCTCTAGGCTGCACTTTTTATTGCTTTTTTTCGGGAGTTACAGCAAGCTCGAGGAGCGGTAATCAAAGTCGAGCGAGGCATGCAGAGAGAAAAAATGCAAGCAGTTTCAATCGAACAATGGCCGGCATATACCCGTACGAGTTGCTCGGGGGAGCGAGCGAGCAAGCGAGAAGGAAAAAGTGGGTATATGGTGTTCTCGCTTGCGGCCGACACAGAGCGAGAGAAAGAGAGCCAAGGGGGAGAAGGACAGAGAAGCTAGCGCGAGTCGCCTCGCACATTTAAATGGCCGAGCTAGGACCGCCCGGTTGGCGTCTAGGTTAGGAAAGTCCCTTGTACTCCGTTTTCTCTCTCTCTCTTGCGCGCGCGAGAGATCGATTTCGGACAGGGAGCGCCGCGCACTTTGTTTATTTACCTCTGCTGATGGCAGCTAGAGAACAGAAGAAATAAAGAGGAAGTGGAGTTGGCTGGGTACTTGAGTGCAAATAAAAAAATTAATACTCACGACATGTTTGCGGCAAGAGAGAGCGAGTGCTATGCCCTCAAGCTGGAGGTCGTCCTGCTGTTGCTGCTGCCGTTGCTGTTAATTCTGTTGTTGGCTGCGGCAGCTGCGGCGCGGCAAAAGATCTCACCGATCCCATGAAAGCACGCGAGATTCGGACACGACTTACGGTAATCGGACATAAACGTGGCTAACAAACCGAAAGCGAAAGCAAACGACCGACAAGAAAACCAAAGTGAAGTTCTCTGCTGCTGGTTGTCAGTCCTCCAGCTTGGCTGTGGCGAATTTGACGCGCGCGCACATATACAGCAACGAAGAACTCTCTCGCACGATCACGGCACAGCTCCGCCGACTTCGCCGTAGAATCCACCGTCACCGTCGTCCCACTGCAACATCTGCTCCGGCCAATCAGTCTCTTTCTCGTGCTGCTGTACTCGCTTGTAGGTATTATATTGCGAAGATTGCAGCCTATCCTATTCGAGCCAGCAGCCTGTTTCTACAGTCAATAGCTTGCGCAGGGTTTTTACTGTATATTCTGTTCTGATACAGCCTAGCTGCTGTAGCCTGCCTGAGTCTCGGCTTCGTGCTGCTTCATGCACAGACTGTTGGCCAAACACTAGACGAGCGAACGAACGAGCACCGTCGACTATCCAAACCAAGCGCGAGTGAAGCGCCGTTCGTCGTTCACCACAATTTTACACACACACACACACACACACATACACACACGTGTATGTGATATTTCATACATCCAATCATGCCTATTGTTATTCTTTCAAGTTTTTCTTAATTTATGTAACCAATTAATATTGAAGCGTTTATGTTCGCTCTTATAATGTATAACATTTACGATATTTTATATTTTATGACTTTCTGCTTAAGGGCCTTTCCACACTTAGGAAATATTCTTGTGATGTCTTTTTCCAAATGATTTTGCACCTCCCAGAACATTAGTACAGTTCACCGTCTACCTCCCTATACGTACTCAGAGGTTTAAGAAGTTCAGAAGGGCAAAATACGTTCGTTCTCTGAACTTCTTAAGCCATAGAGTATGTACATAAATGTAGATGATGAAATGTACGAATGTTCCGGGGGTCTATTCTGAAAAAAAATTTTGTGGTAAATCAGTGTGTCACTTCAGTTTACCACAGAATTAATCACTTTAGATGTGATAAATGCTTATGACATGTGCTAAAATTTTTTTTCAGAATAGGCCCTCGGGAGGTGTAAAATCACACTGAACAAAAATATTAGGAATATTCACTCAGTGTCGAAGGGCCCTAATATATATTTACACAGTACACATACGGAGCAGTGTTTTGCTAAACCGATAAACTGAAATTCAGTTCTGCAACAATCTGTGCGATGTATATATATTCTGCTTAAACATTAATTCGTAACCCGCCAAATCCAATTTATTTTCGACGATTGAGCAATCAGTATTGTGATACCAAACGAGATTACGTCAAGGGCTTATTTTGGTAAGTTATGTTCCCGCAACTAATCAGAAAAAATCCCTTTGATGCGATCAATGTTCAATCATCGAAAATAATTTGAATTTTGAACTTCGCGGGTCACAAAACAAATGTCCGTGGCCCGTGCAGTGACGACAGTGTAGAGTGCAGTGTATTGGAATATTGGGATCCGAAAAGTTAGCTTCGGTGCCCCTACCAGTAGAAATCGCAAGTCGTGAAATAGGCTCGTAGAACGTAGAATGGAAAGCTACTTGTATTTACATATGGCAATTGATGGAGTAGCTCTCTAATATCTTTTTTTTACAGTTGATATATACTTTTTTATAGAAGAGAATACTTAAGTTGATTTTGTAATTCATAAACAGGCCTCTCAAAACGATCTTTTTCTGATTTATAATTCCGGCTAAATTTGGTACAACAACCAAATCTCGTTATCTCTTTTTCACTTAGTAACATTATTGCTGAACCATACGTAATGTTTTGCACCTTGTTGAAAATAGGTATAAGATATATTTTTCATACCCTGAAGGAATTTATTATAACGAGATCGCAGTGATTTTATCATTACCGAAGTAAATGTTATTAATTATCATTCAAACCGTTGACTATTATATAGATTGATTATATGTACTTATCAGAATATATTTACACAGCAGAGTGCTGTTATTTATATGAAAACTACGCTCAGTCTTGTCTCACGGCTTGCGATTTCTGACGGTAGGGGCGCTGAAACTAACTTTTCGGATCCCAATACGTAATACATTTAGAAAAGCTTGTTGCTTATCTCAGTTCTCTTATTCTCAGCTCTCTTGTTCTTGAATCTTGAGCACGAGCATGGGTGATGGGCGAGCCGTAGATAGTTAAAATACCATTGCAACTTGTCATTGATAAGAGTAAACTTGACGTATTTGCGTTGATAATTATATCTCATACCTTATCTTTTTCAATTGCGTAGAAAAAAATTTATTACATTTAAATATTGTACAATTCTTGTGAATTACAATCAGAAAAGAATTCATAAACTTGATCAATTAAATGGTAAGTACCAATAAATCGAATGATTCAATGAAAATATAAGTGAAACTTTACCTTTTCTAGAAATGGAATTGGCAAGAAACGTTTGGAGAAGGTCTCTATTTGTATATCAGTCCAGTATTCAAGCATCACTTAGAACTAGGCAAGTTTTGAAACACGTGTTTTACTGAACCTTGCATTTGTGCAATAATTGAATTTTTTAATAAAATTTTGGAAAAATAAAAATTAGACAATATTTTGTGTGATTTTAAAAAGTGTTCAATATCGCAGTTCAACCAAATTAAATTTTCTTTCTTATTTCTACTTTACAGTTCAAGTGATGCATCAAATATAAATGAGACTCATACCGTCTCTAAATTAACAGATCTACAATCTAAGATCACAGATGAAAAAGTTCATAGTGCGTTAAGAGCAACCGAAGAACTGTCTTCTTACATTGGACTAGCCAGAGAATTTGCTAATGACAGTAAAGAAGAGCATCCCTATGTAGATAAATTAAAAAGAGTTCAAATGATATTGTTTGATCTTCACCATACTATTTTAAGAGCGACACCTGGAGAGAAAAAATTATTTGAACATCGACACACTAAAGACTTGGACGAATGGATTGAAAAATACTCAAAGCAATTACCACCTCCTGAAGATTATATTATACCAGTATGTAGTTACAAAATTTTAATAAATGAAAGCATATCATGAATAGCATTATAAATTTTTAAACCAATAAATTTTTTATTACATTTGTTGTTTTTCCTTTTTTAGGGTGGAGGTAAAGCTTGTGCATCTTTACATGTTGCAAGAACAATATGTAGAAGGGCTGAACACAGTCTCATGCCTCTTGTAACAAATGGTACTCTTGACCAACAAGCACAAACATATCTGAATCGACTGACAGATTTTCTTCTCACTATATCTCGAATTGCTGCCAAATGTGATAAACGCACAGAAAATATTTACATACCTCGGGCAGAAGTTTCAAAAGAAAAATAAAATATTTGAAGAATTAATTGACTTAGAATCAGTGCTGAAAAATGATCATTGTTGTTGTTTTTGTGAACAAAATATACGAATCAAGCTGCTTGATCAGAGCCTTTTTACAAACTACTTTAACTCATTATCAAATTGGATTGTACATTGTAGAAAAAAAAAAGACTCTTAATCCATCATGTTAGGTATAAATATTTACACAATATTTATTTATTAAATGACAACTTAGAAATAAACAAATGTTATGTTAATGTAAATAGCATTTATAAAAATATATTCAAGTTAAACATCAAGTTACAATATTAAATCTCCTGAACCCTGATATTGCTGTCCACATAAGATGTACAACATGATTATGACAATTAATTAATATTTAGAGAAAGAAACAAACTGTTAAAAAGATTCATTCTAATATTTCTTCTCCTTCGGTTATTTCTTTCAAATTTAACAACTCTAGTATTCCAGAACCTTTTGTCTCTGATCTTATCAATTCATCAATTTCACGATAATGTCCTGGATCTATCAAGCAAACTAGATTCAATGTTCCACTATCCCAATCTTCTGATTCAATTTTTGATAGTAGTTTGACTAATTTTTCTCTTATCTTTCTAACCTCTTTTCCTGAAATTGTTATTTTCAGTCTCATTTGTGCTCTTTCCAATGGTATGACTGTTTTCAATTGAGGAATCACATCTAAAGCCTGCTGTTTTGCATTTCGGTTAGGTTTGACTGAAAAATGTATATCTTTCATAGCTTTTTCTATTAATGATACTGAGTATGGACGTTTACTTTGAGGATTAACACATTTATCAGCTACAGTTGTTGCCACATCCTTGAACATAGAATCTAATGCTGACTGTCTCTCTTTGTCTGAAACCTGTAGTTCACCTTTAGATAAAATTTCTTTACAAATTTCAGTTTGATCATCAGTTCCAAAAGCTTTAATGAGATCTTCTTTTTTAGCTACTTGTCCCTTTGAAACATTTGTAAAGACGCTATGAGTTTGAAGTACTTCATCAATATCTTTTTCACTAAAAATGAAATCAAAATCTTATAGAACATGTAAAAAGAAATAAAAATATAAATAAAAATATATCCATTGATAGTATATGTGATTTTATTAATATATTTGATTTTATTAATATTGATATATTAATCTAATGACAGAATTATAAAAACTCACATATTACTTCGCCAAGAAATGACTTTATTTCTATAACAGGCAATTTCAAATCTTTTTCCACCTTTCTTTATCCGTACAACAGCAACATTGGTCAACCTTATTTGATTTGTTGGAGTAAAAATTTTTGACATCTTATTGTCAAGTATTAATACCAAATATTTATATAAACAAAAATGCTACAAACACTAAAAAAGTTAGTTATTTTTTAGTTGTAACTTAAGTTTTCTTGAATTATACACGCGAACGCCAATTAATTATTCTATACTAGTATTAACTTGATACAGTTGAAATATCTCAAGAAATATTTTTTCAAATAAGTACTATTGTAAATATAATTATAATTTAAGGAAATCAACATTCTATCGTGGAAATACTTGTAGTTGCAGATATCACTTCTGTTAATTTAAACAGAAGTTATTAATTTAAACATTTTACCATACTTTTTATTCAGTTGTTAATAATACTTATTGTACCACTGATCATATATATTCTATGACTATATAAACTGTAACCTAACTCTGTATTAAGAAAATTGTCGTCTGCTATACTTGAAATCGTTTTCATGAATTGATGATTTATAGGTTGATAGTTAATCCTCAATGATAATTTATTATGTTGGTATGTTTCAATTTCTTTGTAATAAAGAAAAGATATGTGATAAAAATGATATTAAATTATTATTAAAAAATCTGTAATGTTGTGAAATGATTACTTGCAACTTTAAAAAATTCAAACAGTTATAGTACATATGAAGTCTATAAAATATTAAAAAACCATCAAACATATAAAAAAATATGTGACAAAGGAGTAATACTTTCAGATATAATTTTATTTACAAAAATAGTAACAACAATTTTCAAAAATAGTTTTTGAAGTATATTTTACAATATATAAATAATCCACATAAAATTCATAATTAAATTGAATTCTAAAAAATCCTGTTTCATTTCCATCCACCTCTCCACGATTTAATGGGTAACATATTTATTTTTACTGTCCATCCTAAAATGAAAAATATGTTACAAATAATTTTTTGCATAATTGTGAGGGTCTCTAATTTTCAAGAACATTAATTGTGTCTTACCACTTTCTTCTAATAATTTGATAAATATATGGCACTCTTCAAAAACAACTTGATCTACTGCTAAAACATATTCAGCAGATACATAAGAATCATTTTGGCTAAGAATCCTTGAGAATCTTTTAGGAAACATAAATATTCTCATAATTGGATATGATGGCCCACTCCACTTTTTATTGTTTAAAACGTCCTGTAACATGTACCACTAGTTTAATTTAATCCTATATCATCAGAAGTATTATAATTTTCTTCGAACATATTGAAATAAACTGTGTACATACTGAGCATATCCCTGTCATTTGACATGTAATTATTGCATATATACAAGAGTGGAAATAAGCTTTGAGGATATCAGTATCAGATGCATCTTTTGAAAGAATTATGTAAATTTTCCTATTTTTAACATCCATCACAGGTAGGTATTTTCTTCGTAAAAACATTGTAAGAAGGAGTCTGGTGTCTTTTGCTTGTATTAGATGCATTTTTAATACATGTTCAAATGATGCACCACATTCAATATCAAAACCAAAAATCTTTTTTGCTGAAACAATTAAATATCAAATTCTAGAAATAAAGTCTATAATGTATGCTTAATAAATTTTATATTAATAACATTTTTTTGGTGCAGCGAACCTGGTTTTTCTAGGAAAATAAGTACACATTCTCTATCATTAATATCAGTAACAGTTGAAATTTTATGATACAAAATGTAGTCTTCAATAACTGCATATAAGCGATCTTCATTCAATGTCTCAATTTTAAGAGAAGTGACAGCAAAATAATTGAAAAGTATATGAGCTATGACTAGTAATAAACATAGATATATAAAAATCCTGTAAGAACAATTTTAGTATTAATAACAGCTAATATTCTATACTTATGAATTTCAAGTTTACCTTTCATGGACAAGTAAAAGTATTAAAATTCCAACAGCAGAACCAGCTAAATTCACAAGAGTTCCTTGACTATGTTCTTTAGCTGAGACATCAGCCATATTATCGTTTATGGCCTATAAGGAATAAAATTTTTGTAATAAATTTTGAATACAATGGTTAATAAAGGTTTATAAGAAATTAATTTGTTCTTACATGATGCTGCATTATAGCTGTTCGTGTAGATCCTCCAGCAATACCAACGATTGCTTTCATACCTGTGGTTAAACACAAAGTATAAGAAGATAACGTAGATATGTATGGTACCATTACTTCTATGGTCATGGCAACATCATTTAAAATGTCAGCAAAAAGTCTCCATTTCTTGCATTGACTGCCAAGATTATTTCTGTAATATTATATTGCATATGTATATCTGGTATTAGAATAGTAATTAAAATAATAATAAGATATTTACCCTTGCCACCAAGCAAATAATATCCTTCCAATCATTCCAGTGCCATCTTTTAAAATCCATGTAATTGCTGCTGCTAGTGGAGTTGCTGTTGATTCTCCAACTCCAACCCCTCTCATAATTGAATGAGTAGTTAGAGTACCATTGATAGTGCTGGCAAAAGCCTTGACATAGTTTGTACATTGTCAAATCACAGTGCTTTGCTATATTTATGAAAAAATGGAAGAAAATAAATTGCATACCTGCAGTGTATCCCAAATTTGATATGGCACATAATCTTTATGAACACTTTCAGGAAAGCCTTGAGGTAAAAAAACTTCTTTGAAAAATGCATAAGTCGATGATTCCGCGAATCGAGTGCCCCTTACTGGCTTAAACTTCGTTATGAGTGGTTGATCTATAATCGTAAGGATATGAACAGGTTATGTAAAAAACTTTATATATTTTTAGAAATAATAAAAGAAATAATGTCACCTGTCGATTTACGAAATACAATTTTACTTCTCGTGAATCCATCAGTTTCTTTAAACTCAATGTCTGAATTAAACATTTTTGACGATTATTTTGACGTATATTTTGATTCTTCAAGGCCAAATTCACACGACCCGACACATGTTTGGAAACAACAAAGCTAACCACTGTGCATTGCTTATTTCAAACAGCTGATTATTGTTCCATTTAAATTTCCCGCAAAAGCGATCGTCTAGCAAGTGGCGCTATCCACGTGAAACGTTGAAAAATTAGAATGAATTATTTTTATTTATAAAAATTCTATTACCTATAATCAATTATTAGTTATCAAACATAAATTTTACTCATACATTCAAGTATATAATACATTATTTTTTGCTCACAGTAGACATACGGTCCATTTATGTTGGTTTTAAATGGTTTATCATGTTAGTTAAATCTGTTTATTTCAAACGAGATTCACTTATTTTCAACTTAAATACACTTTAATAATAAAAGAAATTGGATGAGATGTTTTCTTTGTGAAATATTCTCTTGTAATTATCTCAATTCATAAGCTATCAAAAGTTAATTGGACTAACGGAAGTCTTACAATTATTTATCTTCAATCAACATAATTAATAATAATGGATATGATAAGTATGAACACAATTTATTCAAGTTATATTTACTTTGTCGTACAAAAATTCATCGTTGATTGATTTGTCGACTAAGTAATGATAACTAAAAGAATTAAAAATAATTAATAATTAACAGTCAGGAATTGCTTAAGTTGCCTTATAAGTATTTTCGTTAAATTAACGTATGAATCGTGTCGTTTCGTATGAAATGTGTGAAAAGAATGAGATCCTGTATTAAGCTAACTGTGTTTTGATAACTGAATGTCTTGAAATATTTATAAAAATCGATTTGACGAAAAAAATAGCCTCCTAATAGCTTGTTATTAATAAAAGAGGAATTCAAATTCTTTCCACACGAGTAAACTCCATATTAGAAGGTAACCAAAAACTAGAACTGTTTCATAGGAGTTGTTAATTTTGATTAAAAAAATTAATTAATTAATTAATTAATAAAAAAAAAACAAAGACAATTTCTCTAGTGTTTGTAATCATAATTTGGTCATAACACGTATCTCATATGCCATTATTTCGCTACCTATTCATTATGTACTCTTGCTAACTTTCTTGCTAAATAGGTCAGACACTTTTCCAATAATTTGATTTAGCTCTTTGGTACATTCACCCAATCTATTTTTAATTGATATATATTGCGGCTGAATAGAATCATTAGAAGTCGTATTATTGCTAATGTTTTGAGATTCAGATTGATTTTCATCGTTCTTGAACGTAGTGGATTGCTTCTTTCTCGAGAAAATTCTTTTACTAAAATTTGGTTTTTTCATTTGAGGTGCTCGCTTGGGCAGCGTACTTGATTGATTTTTGTCGGCGGTAATCTTGCTCTTGAACACGGCCTTAGGTAAGCTAATTACTTTGGAAAGCTTTTTACTTTCTTCAATTGTATCACCTGTTGAAACTCTGTCTTTTTTGCTGAATTTCAACGACTTGTTCGTTTCATTGGCGTGATTCGGCTCCTCGGGTTTCTTTGTATTTTCGGCATAGCGAACTTTCGAAGTGTGAGTATCAGCGAGCTTTTCCTTAATAGCCCCTTTTGTTACAGGGGTGTTCTTTGTTGTGGCTTCGTGAGCGTCGTTGGTTTGGTATTTGCCTAGGAATAAATAAACGATCGCAATATGATCGAACAGGATACGTGTGTCGATTGTATCTTGGGAGCGAAGGAATAGACGGAGATATAAATTGAAGGGCATTAGAGATAGAAGAAGATGAAGAGGATCATGTGGGCAGAGATGGGTAATAAAAATAAGGGTGCTTGCCTGCAGGTCTGGTGAACGTGGAGGCTCCTGTAGCATGGTCGAGATCTATTTCGTTGGTTGACACTTTGTCCGTAAGCTCGTTGCGCTTCGATCGTCGCTGCGGCGTCGTGACAGGCAACTCGACTCCGGGAGAAGCTCGATTTCGAGTCCGTAGTATCGTGCCACCAGCTTGCTGTTGTTGCTGCTTACTACCGATCGATATCCGGCCAAGCTCAGTCTCGTTCCGCGCAGCTTCCAATCCAGAACCGCTGCCTCGTTTGTCAGTGCAAGTTTAGACAAGGATCTCGGAGATCCCTCGGAGAGCCAAAAAATATGGAATCATGGAATTGATTTGATGGCCACCTGTGTGTCCGACGATGTTTCACCGGGTGCCCTCCAATTTCCGACTTTTTTACTGCGTAGCATTTCATTCGCAGCTGATATTTGACCACTTGGCAATCTTTCGCGTCATACTGGATACCTCTCGAAATACGTTTGCGCAGAACTTTACGAAGTCTAAAAGGCAATCGTCATGATGGTTGAATTTGAACGGCGATGCAATCAAATCTATGCTGAACAATGTTGTATAATGAATATGAAAAGGCCAAGAATTTAGCCGAGGTGCCCCTTGAAAGTGAAAGAAAAATGCAAGCAGCCACAGTAAGCGCAGTATGCATACATTCGTATAAATTTACTCGGGAGGTGCAGCAAAGTCCGAAGCGTTAGGGTAAAGAGTGTGTTGCCGGTCGTCGGCTTGGCGGTTGACTTCCTGCGGCTGCGGTCTATTTTTACGCTGGCCATTAAATAACGCATGCTTCCGCTGTTGCTGCTGCGGCGTGGTCCTCTTGCTCGTGGAAGTCGACGCGTTTCTCGTCGTTGCCAGACAGGACAAAGACTCGGAGCAATCAGCTAGTGGCTCGTGCGAAGAACTCGTCGATTCGCGCCTGCCCTTTGCCACTTGTTTCCCATCAGCTCTGCTTTTGTCGTGCGCGAGCCTTGCGTACCTGAATTCCATCGAGCTGTCATTTGTATTGTTCGCAGCTTTTTACGCTGTAGAATTACTTTGAATACAAAGATTCTTTCGCCCATATTGACAAAAACAGAAATAATTTTTCACATGGCAGCTCGTCATAGCAATTAGACCACATCAATTTCGAAGGCCACATCAAATTTCATTTTGTAATCGTAAATCTTATAAGAAACTTCTGCGATAGCCGCAGCAATATATTGCGATTGGTGTTTAGCTATGACTGTGGAGAATTGGCAGGGCGCGATAGTGTCAGGTATTTATGAGTCCAAAAAAGGAGTACAGTAAGTATGCTTTTTTGTTAACATCTGTTTGGTTTGGAGCTGGACTTGAAGAAAAGTCGTAACTGCCGTAAGAGATCTTTAGCGACGAGGGCAGTTATCGTTTTAACAGAAGTTATTGGCAGCCTCTATATGATACACATACATGCTTTCCCCTTTGTAATACTTCCTCGATTTTTCTGCCGTTACGCACACACGCACATACGTTGACGCACACACACCAACCGTATCCCCAATGCCACAGCTAAGGCCAAGGTTCTCGCGGTGATACGAGTAAATAGGTAACGATTGTTCGGTTCGGAGTACATTACAATTAAATGGATACTCTTCCCTTTGTATTTGATTAGTAACCTGAATATCCTAAACTTTCAAATACTTTTTAAATTCTTCTATATTCACGTAATTTTTAAAAGAAATATCAAAAACTGTAACATTCACATACGAGGGTGGTCCGATAAGTACTTAACCTCACCGCCCGACGGCACCACTCTTGCAAAAGAAATATTCTATCGCGTAGTACAATCTTCTCGATGGTTACTGTCAAGATTTCAGCCGGATCGGAGTTGTAGTTTATTTTTGAGAGCGTGTGAAAGCAAGTGTGTCCGTTGATTTTTGAAAAATGGAAAAAGAGCAGTATCGGTCGGTGATTCGATTCTTGTTTTTGGAAGGGAAATCGCGCAGCGAAATCAAAAAGCGCTTGGATGCTGTGTACGGTGACTCTTCTCCTTCGATGGCGACGGTCAAAAATTGGTTTAACGAGTTTCAACGTGGTCGCACGTCGATTTTTGAAGAGCCACGTCCAGGTGCTCCGAAAACGGCTACCACGGAGGATAACGTGAAAAAAATTCACGATCTCGTATTGGCAGATCAACGATTGAAGGTGCGCGAGATGGCTAAGATCGTAGGCATCTGAAAAGACCTCGTGGGTCATGTCCTGCATGAAATTTTGGGCATGAGAAAGCTGTCGGCGCGATGGGTGCCGCGTTTGCTCACTTCGGACAACAAGCGCAACCGTGAAACAACTTCAGAGCAATGTCTGACGCTGTTTAAGCGCAATCCGAAGGAGTTTCTGCGTCGTTTCGTGACAGTCTGGTATACACCAGAAACCAAGGAACAGTCGAAACAGTGGACTTTACCCGGCGAAAGTGCTCCGAAGAAGGCGAAGACTGCCCCATCGGCCGGAAAGGTGATGGCCACCGTTTTCTGGGATACACAAGGTGTGATCTACATCGACTACCTGGAGAGGGGCAAAACGGTCACAGGACTGTACTATGCCGAATTATTGGGCCGATTCGACGTCGAATTACAGAAAAAATGATCCCATTTGGCGAAGAAAAAAGTGCTCTTCCACCATGACAACGCACCGGCTCACACCTCCGCCGTCGCCATGGCCAAATTGGTCGAATTAGGCTACGAACTGCTGCCCCATCCACCGTATTCTCCAGATTTAGCCCCGTGCGACTTCTTTTTGTTTCCAAACTTGAAAAAGTCACTCGCCCGGCAGAAATTTGAGTCGAATGAGGAGGTAATCGTTGCCACGGAAGCCTACTTTTCAGACCTCAAGGAAACGTATTTTTCAGACGGGTTAAAGAAGTTGGAGCATCGCTGGGCCAAGTGTATCGAACTAAAAGGAGACTATGTTGAAAAATAAAACGCCACTTTTCCAAAATTTTTGTTTTTCTTTTGTAGGCTAAGTACTTATCGGACCACCCTCGTATGTAGCTTAACTTTTTAATGGTACATTAGTAGTAGTGCATATCAGCGTCATCTATATAAAATAATAATGTTGAATAACGATCAATTTCATAAATTACCCCTAATTTGTTAAAATTTATCACTTATTTCAACAAGTTCCAATTCAACAAAATTTATTAGACATGTGTACTATCATTATTATTATCATAATTTTTCTATTTTTATAAAAAATATCTTTGATTAAATTATTCTTATAATTTGCTCGCACGAA